GAGGGGGGCCTTGTTTACCACGGACCTGGCGTTGCATAACATCAGCCGGTGATCCCGGGCCCAAGGATCTAAGTTCCCTGGAGGCCGAGAAGAGCCCAGAGGACCGGAGCACTCACAAGCTTGTAAACAGCGTGTGCGTGCTCCCAAAACCCGATATGGTCCTCTGCTCCCGCCATATCTGCCCCTCCCACTGACCGTCTTGATCAAACCACCCTCCCCTAACCCCCCAACTTCCTCCCTCACCGTTCTAATGCCGTGCCCCTCAGACAGGTCTGGCCTTGGCCTCGGAGAGGCACCCCCCATGCCCCCCCTGGCTATCCCCGAACCCCCTAAAAATTTGCTAAAACATCCTTCTAAGAAAGCTTTCAATTTTTTCCTCTTTAGCTCCCTTGCTGGCTAAAGGGCCAAGTTTGAAGGCCTCTGTGTTAAGGCATCCAAGAAGACTCTAAATGTATTAAATCCCAGTCTAATCTTGTTTCCTCCTGATGGGGGCCTCCAAATACATCCAAACCCACAACTCCTGAACATCATGGGCAGCTCTGGCTGGGAATTATGGGAGTGATCACCACCACACCTCTGAAGGAGATCTTAGGCCGAACCTTATGCTTGGGATTGGTGTAGGCCCTGTTTACCTGGGCAATTTCCAGGCGTGGGGACTTCAGCTCCCAGAATTCTCCTCCATGGCCATAGTGGCTGAGGAATTCTGGGAGTTGAAGAACACAAGTCATCAAAGGGCCAAGTTTGAAGACCCCTGTCTTAAATCTAGCAAATAAAATGGAGGCTGGCTGAGGGATTCTGGGAGTTGAAGTCCACAAGTCATGAAAGGGCCAAGTTTGAAGACCCCTGGACTTCAACTCCCAGAATTCCTCAGCCAGGCATGCTGGCTGAGGAATTCTGGGAGTTGAAGTCCACAAGTCATTAAAGGGCCAAGTTTGAAGACCCCTGGCGTAATGGATCTCCTCTTCAAAGTAGATCAAGACCTGACAACCCCAGGGTACAAATAATCCTCGACTTACGACCACAATGGAGCCCAAACTTTCCGTTGCTAAGTGAGACATTAGTTTTGCCCCATTTTATGACCTGTCTTGCCACAGCTGTTAAGTGAATCCCTTAACAAGTTGTTAAGCTAGCAACATGGTTCTTAAGCAGGAGGCGTGGGCTTCAAGGGACTCCAGAAGATGGTAGAGGACAGGAAGGCCTGGAGGAACGTTGTCCGTGGGGGTCGCGATGGGTCTGACACAACTTCGCAACTAACAACAACAACAAGCTTCCCCCTTGAATTTGCTTGTCAGAAGGTCGCAAAAAGGGATCACATCGCCCTGGGACGCTGCGACCGTCATAAATACAAGTCAGTTGCCAAGCGGCTGGATTTGGGTCACATGACCCTGGGACACTGCGACCGTCATAAATACAAATCAGTTGCCAGGTGTCTGAATTTTGACCCATGACCCTGGGGACGCTGCAACAGTAATAATAATGATAATGATAATGATAATGATAATGATAATAATAAATAATAATAATAATAGTAGTAGTAGTAGTAGTAGCAGCAGTAGTAGTAGTAAAGTTGGAAGGGACCTTGGAGGTCATCAAGTCCAACCCCCTGCTCAGGCAGGCAACCCTACACCATTTCGGACAAATGGCTGTCCAGTCTCTTCTTAAAAACCTCCAGTGTTGGAGCATTCACCGCTTCTGGAGGCAGGTGGTTCCACTGGTTAATTGTTCTAAGTGTTAATTGTCTAAGTGTGAAAAACGGTCGCAAATCACTTTCAATGCCATTGTAACTGCGAGCAGTCACTAAACAAATTGTTGTAAGTCGGGGACTTCTTGTACTGCCCCAAGGCCCCTTACTCCGAATGGAGAACGAAAAATTTCTGCCCTTTTGATTGATTGGGCCCATGGGTCAAGCGCCCCCTTTCTAAATAAATCTCCTCTTTCACCAAAGGCTGGTGGCCAAACAATTAGCATTCCCCATGGGCTTTTAAGCTAATGACTCATTAAAATAATGAAAGGGAATCTGTGTCCCATAATGGGCTCCCTTCAAACTGATATGCAAATTCGGAGATGCTTTTCATGTTAAAAAATACTTTAGGACAATAAGCAACCTTTATAGTTTATCGATTTTTTTATTCATTCATTTAGAAACTGCCCTTCCCTCTCGCAGCAGGCAGAAAAACATCAAAACTCTATATAAATATTAGAAGGCAGTTACAAACAAGAATAAAATGATAGGATCTTAGTAATAGTAAAATAATAGCGTTATTCGTTCTTCCCCTTGTGGGGCAACC